AAAAGCTTATATAGAGCTCTTGGACTAGAAGGGATGCGGTTACGCCTTTGGGTTTGTTTCAAGGATTACAAAGAAAACCCTTATAGATGTAATAGATTTTATTTAAATACACACTGAGATGTGATGTCAGTATAGGAACACATTTATATTAAGTACTGGTGTAGCCCATACGAACATCCGTAGTGCTACAGCCATATTTTGAAATAAATAAAAAATAGGTATTCGAAATAACATATTAACATTAATAGTAGATACAATTACATTAATTTTATTGGTCAATTTTTTATCTAAATTACTATTTAATGATTACGTTTAAGACAATGATAATTACTAGTTTTTAATAAACAACTTGATATTACCGAAAAGTGACAAAAATAAATAAATCGAAGGACAAATTTACGTAAAATTCATAGAGGGACAAATATATTTAAATAAACTTTGAACATAAAAAAATTGTTGATGTAACGTATTTAAAATAAAAAAATATATTATTAAAATATAAAGTTTGTAACATTAACTAAATAATGATTTTGACTCAAAAATTAGTAAAATAGATAAAAATTGACCAATTTTTTTTTGACCCGTCAGTTACGGATAAACACTACTTGGAGACCCTGGTCCACTTTTTAGACTAAATATTTTAATATTGCATATTCAATATTGCAAAGAATATGACACAGTGTATAGGAATTTCAGTTTTTTTAATACTATTTAACTCGACCCCAAGAAATCTTAATTACATTATTAACAATTGTGGTAGTTTCAGGAAAGTATCGTCTTTATTACAGAATGTCCGGAAGCTCTGCCCAGTTAAGTAATATTACTATCGTTTTAATAGTTACCCAATAAAATATTTAAATCCAATTCAAAAGAGAAAATTAAAAATACAAAATAATATGTTAAATGTACCTTTTACATACCTACAAATTGCATAATAACAGATTTTCGGGACATTCTATAATTGAGTTTTATCGGAGTACCTACCCAAAAAACAGTATAATAATAATTATTAGTTATAATATTACTTAGTACTCTTATATCCTATATTCATAAAGCATATATAAATTTTCCAATCTGTAAATTCTTAAAGACAAAAACTTCTAATATAGTTGGGCGATATTTTAAGAAGTATTATTTAATTAGGTACTGAAATGTACGAGTACTTCAGTGTGTATAATTACTTTTATTAAAAATAGGCTGAGCACTTTCGAAATCCTTTATCTTATTAGTATCATCATGGACAAAAATTACCAAAACATTTATATGGACTAACATTGTTTAAACTAATAGACACTAATAGACTTTTAGATAGTGACATGTTTAGGTGCTCTATTTTCACATACACGCCTTGAAGAGGGTTAAAAAGTAAATCGATTCAGCCATACATAGGCTAGCTCAACAGGCTGAACAAGCATTGGGAAGCAAAGAAATAGCACTAGGAGTCTTCCTAAATATAGAAGGATGACTCGGCTTCGTACAATTTAATACTGGGATCTATGCACAGGCGTGGAGTAGCCCTCTGCATTACGAGTTCATGCTTAATCATAGAAATATTACCAGTAATCTCCTTAACACAAGAGAGGTCTCAGTTAACAAGGGAAGCCCGCAGGGAGGAGTGTTATCTCCTCTAATGTGGACCTTGGTGGTTGATGACCTCTTATGGGAGTTAGAGAGAGAAAACTTATACACGCAAGCATTTGCAGACGATATAAGCATCGTAGTAAACGGTAAATTTGGGTCTGTTGTATCCGATAGGATGCAGCGTGCACTAAATATCGTCGAAAGATGGTTCCTAAATGAGACAAACCCGACAAAAACCTCTGTTCTTGCATTCACAAGAAAAATGAACCTTCAAGGAATAAAGGAGCTTTATATGTGGGGATAACATCTAAAAATGAAAAAAGAAGTTAAATATCTTGGAATCACTCTTAGCTTCTGCAGCCATATAGAAAAAAACAACAGAAAAAGCTGTAAGAATACTATGGGCCTGTAGATGGATGGTAGGGAACGTATGGGGGCTTAAACCAAGTATGAAGCACTGACTTTAGACTATGGTTGTAGTACGCGTTATAAATTACTCATCAGTCATATGGTGACATAAGACTAAAAGCATAACAGCTAACAGAAAATTAGACAAAGTGCAAAGACTAGCATGTCTAATAATAACAGGGGCATTTAGAACTACGCCCACAGCAGCAATGGAACTACTGCTAGGTCTTCCTCCACTACACCTTGTGGTGGAGAAGGAGGCTATGGCGGCGGCATACAAGCTGTTTACTAATGGATTTGGATGGGAACTATCGAGAAAAGGACACCACACAATGATATAAGAGAAATTAAAACAAAATCCGGTACTAAAAATGCCATCGGATAGAACGCCCATTATTCACGACTTCAGGAAACCTTTCGATACTCAAATACCAGAAAGGGCCAAAAGCCGCGAAAATAGGGAAAAAAAAACGAATCAATCTGGTATACAGACGGTTCGAAACAGCACCAGAGCTGGGATCTACCATATGAACTCAGAGAAGACAATTAGTTTGAACATGGGGTCACTAACAACAGTCTTCCAAGCTGAATTCACAGCAATAAATGCCTGCGCGAAAGTCATGCTAAATTACTCTCTTAGAAATAAGAGGATCTTTATCATGACAGACAGTCAGGCAGCCCTTAAAGCACTGAAAAGGGTAGAAGTACAATCTAAATCAAATTTGATTTCCAACAGTCCCTCCAGGCCCTGGCAAAGCATAACAAGGTCACCCTTGAATGGGTGCCAGGACATGAGGGACTGTTTGGAAATAAAAAAGCAGACCTCCTAGTAAGAAAGGGAGCGGAAAAAACTCGTATTAAACCAGAACCCACATGTGGTATCTCATACCAACATGTCAAATGGGTGTTAAAGGAACAAATAAATAGAGAACACCACAGGCTCTGGTTGGAACTTCCTGGACTTAGACAGTCCAAAAGATTCATAGAGGGGCCATCCACGAGCAGACAACATTAACTGCTAAATATTAGCAGAAACGAACTCAAGGCCGTAATAGAACTCCTTACGGGACACTGTGGCCTTAGAAGGCACCTAAATATCTTAGGGATATCTGATGACTCCCTATGTAGAATATGTGAATCTTAAATGGGAACGGGAATGGTACTTCGGGGTACAATATCCGGAACCTGAAGAAATCGCGAAAGCGCCCATCAGATATATTCTTAAATTCATCAAGAAAATCAATCTGATGGGATAGAAACTGTGAGGGGTACAATAAGCCTAGAACCTCAGTACAAGTGGGCTTTGAACCACGCCCTAATACAGATAGATAGAAATCGATTTTAAGTAGAATGAGAGTTAATTTACGAGTGGCGCCTGGGGATAACACAAGGAAAATTCGATTTTCCCCAACAAAAATAAAAAATTATTTGTTGTCCATATTTCTACGCAAGACGTTTTTACTATATAATTAATTAATAGAAAAAAGCTTCGAAAAACCAAGGGCTTTAATGTTGCAAGTGACTAAAGGGTAGAAATAAGGGCCGTAATCTAAGGAAAAATCGAGATTTTACAGATTTTTCCACGCAAGCCCATCGAATATATGAAAACGTACATCATCACTAGTCTTGAATGACCTGAATGTATAAGTGCATTTTGGGGTCGGAAAATTTTTCTGACGAGGAAAATCGAATTTTCCATGTGTTATCCCTAAGAGCCACTCTTAAATTTTCTTCTAGGCTTGTATGCGAAAATGAGGCACCTAAATCGGTCACTATCTGACGGTCTATAAATCTATTAATTCAAAACAAAAAGACTTTCCTTCTGATCAATGATTGTTCTTTTTAAATTTGTTTTAACAACGTTAGAATATTTAAATGTTTCTGTCAAGTTTTTTAATAGAAAATTTATAGACTACAAACAAAATGTAGAGCTGTAGGCGGAATTGTAGATTAATCGCTAGCATATTTATCGCTAGGCTATATATAAAATAATTTATATAGGTCATAAATCTTTTTAAAATGAATTCGAGTATTTTTAACTTACAATTCTGTCTTAAGACTGTAAGCAATTGATCGCTAGCAGTTTACCGCCTCAGCAAATGATCGCATATACAGCTTATAGCCTACAATTGATCGCTACCATATATATCGCCAAGCATACATGTAATAATTTATATAAGTCTCTGTCCTACTTTTTTTAAAACTTGTATCTAAGAAAAGCTACTTAATTTTTCTTAATAAGAAACTTTCAGAGACAAAAACTATTTTTTATTTACTGACACTTACATTTTTCGTGAATTGAATCTTTAAGACATAATAAGAAGAACAATAACTATCCAACTCGTTATATGTATTGCCTTGCGATAAATATGTTAACGATTAATTGTAGGCTATAAATTGTTTATGCAATTAATTGCTGTGGCGATAAACTGCCAGCGATCAATTGCTGGCGGTGAATTGCAGTCGACGTGTTCTATCGATGTCATAAATGTTTTCCAGAAAAATATAAAGGAATTTTAAATTTGTTAATGATTTGAGAAAACTTAACCTCATTTATTTAAATTTTACTAATTATAATTAATAGCGATTCAAATCTTTATATCGACCAACTCTACTTTTCTTTGTGTTAATGTTTCTATCTTTAAGGATATAATGCAGATAAATCTTTAAAGAAACTTTATAAAATAGGCCAATAATAATTTATTGCTTTAATAAAATTTTGACAAATTTAAGATATATCTTAAAATATTAAAAATTCCGCCTTTTATTTTGTTAGAATTAATTATAAAACATTTGAAAACCTTGTAAAAAATTCTTCAAAAAAAAATGAATTCTCAAAACAGTGTAGGTAGGTACTCAATTAAAACTCAAAATTTGGACAAAATTCAGAGACACAAATAATGATAAAAAATTAACATGTCAATTATTATTTAAAATAAACTTTCTGCTTAACTCACATATTTTTTATTAAATACTGAAAAAATACAAAAATGTATAAATTTGATTTTTGGCTACTATTTACTTTGTGTCTCTTAACCTGAGATTTAATTTTTTTTTTGTCTAATACATTTAGGAAAACATCTAGAAAAAGGTAAGTCATTTTTTTTTGTTTGAGAAAATTACAAAATATTTTTGAGCCTCTTCGCTCTTGTTCAGAATTTTTTGTTATCAAACTCTATTGAAAACAAGAACAAAATTCCCAAATATATTTTTTGAAATGTTACAAAATGGTTTTTTTTGATATGATCGTTCCTAAGCCACAAGTTTTTTATATGTATAATATCAACAGTTAAATGAAATCAGAAACAAACTTAAATTCTGGACAGTTTACAAAAATTTTAATTAATTTATAGTGAGTATAATTTTTAATACTGCAAAAATAGCTGAAATAAACAAATTAAGAAAAAAACTATAAAAGATAAACTTACCACAAATGAAGGGACTTCGACGATTATTTTTAAATAATGCTAAGTTTACTATTATCATCCAAAAAGAAAGTTTAAAAAGTTGTGCTGAATTCATTTTACCATTTTATAGTAGTATTCCAAGAATTAAAACTTACGATTTTATTAAAATAATTAAGTACAAAAATAATACTGGTTTTTAAATTAAAAATGTTATTTACCAATAACAGAAGAATGGCTGTCTAGTGTGTAAATTTAAATACTTATATAAAATTAAAAATATTCAAACACAAATCTATTACATAATAAAACTATTTTTCTTTCAACTTTTGGATCACTACATTTTTAATACCTGGTTATCTTCATGGTTTGGGAACAAACTAGGGAAAGTTTTCAGGAAAATCACTACAGATAACTAATTTTGGAATATCTTATATTGAAACATCTCTCATTTTATAATACACTGGGGATAAGTCAGCAATAAATAAAAAAACTACAGGGTGTCCAGTAAAAGTTACTAACTTTTAAATAATAATTAAATAAATTTAAGTATAAAGAAAAATATATTTTTTAAATATTTTTGAAAATAATTGCAAAAAAAACTTATTTTCGTCTTTCAAATTATATAAAATTGTCTTTGGTCTACTGTAATTTTTTAAAACAGCTTTTCACTGAGACATCCTGTATACTGGAATATATATTTATATACAATTGGCTATTACTGGCCAAAAAATGATATGATGGGGAATGTACACTGGGCTAAAAACTGTTGGCAAAAACGTGCCCCTAAAAAACTCTAGCCCTCTCAGTCTCAACATATAGCTACTTACAAATATACAAGTAATTATTTAATTAATAAACTCAATAATCAATAATAATTAGGAAAAAAAGAACATTGCTTTGGTATCAGTTACAAAGAACAATATGATTCCCCTTTATTCTATTTTTTTGTGTGGGGACCAATTTAAATATATTAATACTATACATTTCAACTTATCTGATAACATGAAAAACGGAAGTGCAATCACTATTTTAGATGTTTTTAATCAATTACAATACTGCCCTTGTGAGATCGTTTAAATTAACCCATACCTTTTGGTTATATTAAAAAACAAAAATCTAGACCTAAATTGTATTTTTCTTTAAATGGAACAAAATATTTAAAACTTTTAGTTACTTCCAGTGGTGTGTAACATTTGCTCTGAATACAAAACACAACACAAAAATATATAAATTTAAGTGATATTTTATTATATTTCTAGTTTTCTTGTTAATAATTGCAAAAGTGTAAAATTCTCTGGAAAGAGAGATTTGTCTCAACTAAAAATGAATTGAAAATTTATTGCGCCATTAAAAAAATAAATATAATTTTAGACCCGCAATTATTGTTTCTCTAAAATATTTGAAAAGTTAAGTCCAGAATATTGGTTGCACTAACCTTAACCAACAGTACTAGTTAATTGTATTTTATGTTGGCTAAAAGTACTAATACCTAGCCCTAGCCACCAAAAAATCAAATTAAACTAGACTTTCCAACAAAGGCAAAATCACTGTTCACAACAACAAATTCTTCTAAACAGTTCATTGGGACTAGTACGTTAAACTAGGGGGTGGAGGGGGCAATCTCATTCCACCCCATGGAAAGAGTCATACTGCCTCTTTGGAAGTTATACTCGTGGAAGAATCTTCGTCCCCTGACAGCATCGGCATGGTGCTCAGTAAATGACCTTTGCCTTGGTTGACTACACACTTCCTCATATGCTTTTCTAGGGTTGAAGGAACGGAAAACGGCATTTCACAAAATCGACACCGGTATACGTCTTTGCCGATTCGACCATGCGTCTTCATGTGTCGAGTCAATTTCGAACTCTGCGCGCATGCGTACGAACATAGTTCACATTTATACGGTTTCTCCCCAGTGTGAGATCGCCTATGTACAGTTAAATTCGAACAGTTTTTAAACACTTTACCACAATATTCGCAAGTATCATTTCGGCGGGATTCTTTCTTTATCAGCGGGTTAGGAAGTAGCGCACTTGGTCCAGGTAGTCCTTTATTATCTCTAGGTAACCCTGATAACCACCAGTCATTCCTGTCTAGCTCCAACTTAAGTCTCTTCGACGCTTCAAATGAGTCGTTAAAATGGGGAAATAAAGGTAAAGGTTGTGGAGGTGGAACTGGTAACAATCCTTTAGCAAACTCATCACGAATTTTTAGCTGACTGGACAGACTAGTATTGTTATTATCTCTATCTTTGCTAAATTGAAGTTTCAAGGCAGTGTTTGATTCTTGTAAAGCTTGCTTGTAGGCTTCACTGTATTGCGCGATATTACTAAGACCAAATTTGTCCATCAGTTCACCTACCAGTGAAGCTGATGGACTCGACGGGTTTTTTGGCGGTTGACTGGGAACGCTCAAATCTTCAGCTTCTTCCTCCTCAATATCGTCTTCCTCTTCATCTTCATCTTCATCGAGATCTTCTTCTTCTTCACTCTCTTCACCGTCCATGGTTTCTACTGATCCCGCATTGCTAGTTCGGTCATCAGGCGTTCGATGTATCTTCATGTGTTTCTTTAGCTTAGAACCCTGTGCGTAAGCGTGATCACAAATTGCGCATTTATAAGGAAGCTCTCCGAGATGAGTTCTTCGGTGTACATCAAGGTTATTCTGGTAACGAAACTTTTTACCGCAATAATCGCAAGCATGTAATGCTTCGATTGAAGATGTCTTTGGTGATCCAGGTTTACCAGGAGGAGTACTGGCTGATCTAGGTGTGTGCATGATCTGATCATCTGATTTTGTAGGAGGTGAGGTACTAGGAGGTCTACTGCTATTACTACTATTATTGTTGTTATTGCTACTACTGGAGCTTATGTTATTGGGTATAGAAGTTGGCGGCATCTGGGAAGAAGGGGATGGACTCGCGAAAGGCGGTGAGTGCTTGCGGGGTGACGGCGAGCCTGCCTGTGCCGTTCCCGGGCTGGTGGTGCCTGCCAATTGCCTCAACCGCTGCGAGTAAAAATCCAGCTGGGGTTCCAATGAAAGAGGTTGATTTGGGGTGCTCCTGTCCCTGGGGGGTAAGTTGTTTACCGAGCTAACTCGATCAGCCGGAGATGGAAAACTTGAATGAGGAGGTGGAGGTACGTTTCCCGCAGCTACAGCTGCAGCAGCTGCCGCTAAATTAAGCCCGTGATGACGAAACTGCTCACTTACTAACTGGTCTATCCTATAATGATGTTCAGGGCGAGAGAACAGCGGTGCAGGTGGTACAGGGCCGTGGTTTAAAGGCGGCAATGGCAATCGCAGTAACCCACCGACACCAAAAGGATTGTGCAAATCAGGAGGTGGCAATAAATGATGCCTCATATTTGGAGGTGGAGGTGGCACTGCGCCAGAAGAACATCCTGAACTGGAGCTGCTCGTACTACTACCGCTGTGATTATTATTGTTACTGTTCTTTGAGCTGGTTGGAGAACTTTCTACGTAGATTTTGATTCCGTGTGAATTTTGTACGTGTTGAATCAACCTCCAAGCTGAGTGTAGTCGAACTTTGCAGGTACTACATACGTAGGTACTGGGTTCTGAAAGAAAAAAGAAGTGTTAATATGAAATATTATTTAACATTTATGTATTTGTCTATTTTGAATATGATGTATAATAAAGTAAAAAAATGTTATGGATTCATGCAATATGGCGTATTTTACAAGCAGCTTCAAGCGATTTAAAATATTTCGTTTCAGCAGAGAGCAATCGGATAGGAAATTGCCGCTTCTTTTTGTTTCCTGTTACGTCCGTCCTGCTGAAACGGGACAACGTTTAACCGAATCATTCGTGAAATTAGCCTTGTAGAACAATAGCTGCCGGCATCGTTTATGAGAAAAGAAGCTGCAAGGTACAGATCATACCGTGCCCGTCATTATAATAACGCTTCCTATTCGCGTCTGAAGTTGACTTGACCTCGTACGTTAGGAGCTGCTCAGTTACCCGTAGATCCGAACTATTGTCATCTTGGTCCTTCGACATTTGTCTTCGGCGATTTTTCTACCGTGTAGAATATTACGGTTGATAGATTGTCGATTAGTTTCGTTGGTTTGTTAATAATTCAGAGTACACGCCAGTTGAATATATAATCTATGTGAAGCGCTTAACATAATAATAGTAGATAACCTTTTTGTCATTGATTTAAATTAACTGTAAAATTCAAAACAATCATATTTTTTTATACTTTTTTTAAGGTTAAATGTTTGATTTAGAAAGTTACGATTCTAGTGTGTAAAATGGTACTTTTGCACATGAGTTGCGGAATAATCGCAATGAGTGTCATATATTATTTTTTGTAAGATGATTTTGTTGTTGTTGTTTTATACTTATTCTGGTTAAGGTCGCCACTTTTATGTATTTTACATGTTCAAAACAGGGTTTTACTTTTTCCTTTTTTATTTTTGCGGTATTGAAAAACTATTCCTAGTCAAATCACAATAGACCAATTATACAGTGCGGTCTATCGGCGGGCGTAATTTCGGCCGGTAATCCCCTCGCCTACCTGCCAAAAGCAAAGTGCCCATCTAATGGCATAGGTAATTTCGGCCGAGGGTAATGGGCACTATATACCTCTTTTATATTGTCTGTTACCAAATAAGACTGCTGACACATATATTAAACTTTTTTCTGTTGCTTAAATCTAAAATTTTGGAAGTTTTTAATATAGTTTTTGAACCGATGGAGGCATTCGTAGATTTTGAAATATTAATACATATCGCACTAAGAAATGTTTTGTCAAAAACGAAAATAAATGGTTGTAGATTTCACTTACATCAAGCGTGGTACAGGAAAATTCAGTCAAATATATAAAGACAAAAACTCTGAAGAAAGCAAATGGCTTATTCACACTTTTGGGCTTACTTATTTAAAACCATCTGATGTTGAGGATTGTTTTATATTTGATTTAATGTCTTGCAAACCAAATAATGAACTGTTGGATAAATACGCAGACTATCTATTACAATATTATATAGCACCTGATTCCGATTTTCCACCAAATATATGGGCAGACGAAAATCCATCTATAAAACGAACCACAAACGCTTGTGAATCGTTCCATTATAAATTGAATTCTTCATTTTATTCTTGCCACCCTTTAATATTTATTTTTATAGAAAAGTTAAAAGAATTCCAGATCGATTCATATTTAAAAATAAAAAGTTTAAATATTACAGCAAAAATAAAAGACAAGCAAGTCAGAAATAAATTAAAATTTATTGAAAATATGGTAAATATGCTTCGGTCTGGAAAAATTTCTAGATTTAATTTTGTTAAAACTGTATCATATCAAAGTTCGTAAAAATGTAAAGTATGTTTTTAGCTCTAGTTTTTAAGTAATAGTGTCTTTGATTTTGGTTTAATAAAGAATGTTATAGCAATTCTAAATCTTATTTTATTTTACCTGCTCCTTCCGGCCGAAAATACCTATACGATAAGAACGAACCCTTAAACCTCCGGCCGAAATTACATATCCTCTTTAGGTACCTGTCCTTTTTCCGGCCGAAATTACATCCGCCCGCGGTCTATATGTATGGAATAAATTCATTGTTAGCGTTATCATGTAACTTCTAGAAAAAATCTGAAACAGCTATTGATTTGACAATTTATAATATGAAAATATTCCCCCTCCTGCACCCCCTCTGAATTATGAACACTACCTTAAATATTTTAAATAAGAAGAGAGGTTGTGTGTTATTTTTAGCGTTATCATGTACTTCTAGAAAAAATCTGAAACAGTTGTTGATTTGACAATTTATAATATGAAAATATTATCCTATCTTGCACCCCCCCTGAATTACGAGCACCTCCTCAAATATTTTAAATAAGAAGAGGGGTTGTGAGGCATCTTGTTTAAAATATATTTTAATTTTCTCTTCAGCACAATAAAGTTTTTTAAAATTGGTGCAATCATAACTGTGATAATTAATTTTGAAAATGTCAAATATAAATAACTTTTGCTAAATTAAGAATCACAATAATACCACTATTATTATCCACAGACATGGGAAAAGTTAAATAAAATTTAATTATTATCAATATGCTTAAGCTTATGTAAGTAAAATGAATAATCTAAGCATGCGCGAAAATCAGATACTTCTTTTTTTAATACGATATTATTGCTAATAAAATGCTTAGCTACTAAAAAAATATGTAAACGAGTTTTGAACGTGGTGTTTGATTATTTTAAAAATTTCATTTTATTAAACAATAAATTTTTCAAAAATAGTTTAATTAAAATCTTTCTATGTATTTATGTCACAAATATCTATTGGATAAAAAGGAAAATAAATTTAAATCATAAACTAGGTAGAAAACATGCTTTTGGTATTTGTTTCAAATAGGCAGATTACGTGACTACTAAGGGGCCAACATATATGTCATGTGTACTGTCTATTTGACTATTTGAAGCAAAGCACAAATGCTTCATTTGTTCTGTATCTATTGGATAAAAAAGAAGAAATTATTAAACTAAACTCGTTGTAATACTCAAAAAATTAAAACGAACCTTAAACAGATATTCTAAGAAGGAAATAACAGAATGTCTTCAGTCAGCAGATTGATGTTAAAAAAAGTAGAATAAAACTTTTTGCACATGCTCAGATTATCCAACATTTGTAACATTTTAAATTTGTTAATTTTTCTTATTATTAGTCATAATACTACTGCTATTACTAAGTATAAATCAAGTATAATTCACTTTGAATGGGCACATAGATTGTAGCACCTACTTGGAAAATAGTGTGTTGTTGTGGCGCCCTTAAATATGTTTGATCTCTTTTTTTCATTGATATATGTATTTTGTATATAGACTCTTACTTTTATTAATAAATTTTACACTTTTTGGTACTGTAAATTAAATTAGATCGCTAGTATAGATCGACAGGAATAACGAAAAACATATTTCTGCCGAAATTATTGTTTTTCTTTTTATTTCTATTAATAATTATCTTACGATTTGTCAATTTTCTGTAACCTCCGCATATTTAATACAAAATAATATTTTGAACGTACAAAATATATCATTCAACGAAATAAAATTTTATAATGTAATAAGAGTTCGCTACGTTGTTTACATGATATCCCCGTATATTTATCTGCATAATAGAAAAATATTCTGTATGAAAAGTGGCGATCGTACACATTTCGTCCACATGTTGGCAGCAAATTGTGCGGCGGGTGCTGGATAGCCGCCTCTCGTAATAATACACTGAGAGCTGAAAACTGAAATTCTCAAAAACGAGGAATGAAAAATCGCTTGGACGTTTGCGGAGAAAACTTAGCTTGCCGGTCCAGGGTGCGCCGGACGTGACCAGATTTCGAATAATTCTGGATGTGGGTCTGATTTTGAGGTCGACGAAAAACCATTGTCGCACAAAGAAGAATTTCCTCTAAACTTTTATAAAGTTTCAAACTGTATCGGTTAACGTAATTTTTCGACAGTCCGCTCGATTTTTCTTCAAGAAACTCTTGAATTAAATATTTAAGGATGCATCTCTATGAAAAAATAATGAGTCACATCCGTATTTAGGAGTTTAAAGCTACTGAGAAATTATTTATCAAATAGAATCCAGCGCATAAAGATCGGCAATGTCGGTAGTTTTAAATTCGTAGTAAAGATGGAAGTCCCACAAGGAACAATATTGGACCCAACATCATATATTATGCGAATGATACAGTAATAATTTTCACTGGAAAAGAATGGGAGAAGGTAAAACTCACTGCAGAAACGGTTCTGAGAAAGTATATAGCTTAATAATATTATATTAACCTTAAATGCATTATTTTTAGTTCAACCATCGTTAATCAACCTAATAGCTTTTGTATTAATTTGCATACTAGTGACTGACAAATAATCGATTGTACCTGCCTCTTAATACGAAAAGTTTCTCGAAATGAAATTTCTGAGTGTAATATTTAACAAATCGTTGCTCAGAACATATTCTCTATATTAATAATAGAATGAGAGCCCTTTCAATGAAAAAAATATATAATAATTCCCTAATGAAACCTTTATTATGATATTGTATAGTAGCATGGAGTAGGGAATTTAACACTACTATTAAAATTTTAGAGACAACACAAAATAAAATTTTAAAAACGTATCGAAAACAGAGTAGCTATTATCTATGAATAAAATGTATGGTAAATCGTACATACTCTTCGTTAAATAATAATACAGAGCAATGCTGAAATTTAACGATACTCTCTTTTTACAGATTGATGTACAGAAGGTATTTGTACTATATGGAAGTTCTTAATGGAAGTAGAGGTAGTTTGTTACTAAAGAAGAAGTCTAGGTTAGATTAGATGTGTAAGATTTTTCATGATTTTTTTTAAGCTTTTCATTATTATTTAGAGCACTTGGTCTAGTTTAATATATATTATCTTAGATCCATAAGCTGGGACGTAGCTCTTAGCTGTAGTTATTGCTTTAGATTTTTCTTCGTCGGGTCTAAGTATCTATTCCTGAATAGGAAGGAGTAGAAAGTTAAAGACAAGAATGAGACAGAAATCCAAATTTTGTAGATACATTCGAGAT